CGCGGAGGGGAAGGTGCGCGCTTCTGCCTCCGGAACTTGTGGGTTTCTGCATCTGCGCCGACCCCAGCCGTTTTCTTTTTCTTTTTAATTTGAAAAATTGAGTATTTATATTATTTTTATGTATGTATTTGGAGCAGGAGCCCATATGTGAGGTGTTTTATCAGGACCCGTTTGTGGGCCGGGCCCCTCAGTGGCAATGTCTGTGCCACAGCTGACAAGCCACCCGGAGCCGGCAGCTGGAGATAAAGACACGGACAAGGGCTGCAAACCGCCCCACTCCCCCCTCGGCAGCTGGGAGTTGAATTTGAGGCGGGTTGTGGGTAACACCTTGGCTGTGGCATCCCTCAGCCGTGCCTCTCTGCCCCTCTCCAGGGCTCTGCACCATCATCCACTACTTTGCCCGTGGGCAGCTGGGCTGGTTGGGGCTGACTGTCGCCTGTGTGGTACCCGGCTACGTGGCTCAGCTCCTCAGCATCCTCTGGTTCAGGGCAGATGGCCATCCACCCGGCTGCTGGCTCCTGGTGCTCCATCTCCTGCAGCTGGGCCTCTGGAAGCGGTGAGACATGCTCCCCATGGTCCATCCAGCCCCTCCCCCAAACCAGGGTGGACATCCCGTCACGATGACCCTTGCAGGTACTGGGATGTTTTGCGGAGAGTGGCCAAGGCGGGCGGCAGTGCTCACCCCAGGGAGGCGGTGATGCAGCATGGGGACTTATGTGCGCTGCAGCTCCTGGAAGCCCTGCTGCAGACCCTGCCTCACCTGCTGCTCCAGGCCTACGTTGTCGTGGCAGTCGACCCAATGGGCTTTGTTCCTGGTGAGTGGGGAGTTCCTGGGAGGGTGCTTCCAGTTGCAGAGGGGTGATGCATTGGGGTGAGGGAGGCATGTACCCACCCAGCAGGGCGCAGGGCAGGCTCTGGGTGGAGGATCACGCTGCAAAGGGGCTGGAAAGCCTCACTGCAAAGCAGCAGGGACAAATGTGGCTTAAAGACCTGTTGAGGATGAACATGGAGGAGTCTCTGAGCTATCCATGGCTTTTCCTGGCTTCTACAGTCATTTCCTGCAGCATAGAGGGGATCTCCGTGGCAGATGGAGCCTTGATTGGGTTTGAACCCAACACATGTTCCTATTGACAATCCAGCCCTAATTGCAGTTCAGTAATGAGCATTTAGGGTTTTGGCATTGTTCCGTAGAAAAGATGAACTTCCAGCTGTGTTTTGCAAAGGGAGAAGCTGGAGCATGGCATCACGGTGAGCACAAGGGTCATGCTCAAGTCCATGTCAGTCTCTGGTCCGATTGCAGCGACTGGAGATGGACTTGCCTGGCTGCTTCAGAGCTCTGCCCGTGGCAGGAAGCACTCAGAGGATTTCAGCAGGCAGATGCCGAGCCTGCAGACGAGGCCAGATTCACCAGGAATTGGCTGAAATACTCATGCTAGCAGGGCAGCAGGGCATCTGGCTTGTATCGGAGTGCCGTGCCATCAACAGCTCCTTAGCATCGAGATATGGTCCTGCAACAAAATCAGGCATACTCCAGAGCATCCAACTATCCTTGTCCCCATCCAGGTGTCAGCGCTGGGCTGTCCCTGCTCTCCCTCTCTTGGGCTTTGGTCTCCTACAGCCGCTTCACCTGCCTGCTGAGACCCGGACACCTCTGCCTGCCGGCCACGGCCATCCTCTGCCTGCTGCTGTGGAGGATGGGGATGCTGGGGACCAGGGTCCTGGCCCTGGTGCTCTTCACCAGGCTGTATTCCTTTTGGGTTTTTGCTGTGGCAGGTAAGACCCATGATCATCTTCCCTATGTCCCATACCAGAGATGCTCCTGGTGCTGGAGCACTTTGCGGTTCTCCCCAGGATGGCTTTGCCCTTTCAGTCTCGTCCTCTTGCAGGTGTCCACTGGCTGCTCATGTCCTTCTGGCTGGTGGCCCAGCAGACAGATATCGTGGCCCAGCCCTGTCGCTGGAGGCTGTTCAATTGCCTGGTGGGAGCCGTGTACATCTTCTGCTACGTTAACGTCCGGCCCGGTCCTTCCAAACACAGGGTAGCCGTATTTTACACAGTAAGTACCCAGGATATTTGTTATTCCACATGGATACAGCTCCTAGGGAGAAGCAATAGATTGAGACTCTATGATCTCTCACATCACCACTTGATAAAAATCCAGCGTATCCCATGTCCTGAAAAAGCCACGTGGTCACCAAGGTGGATGCACCTGCTGTGCTGGCATTGTTTTGTTAGCAGCAGCCACGCTGTGTCTTGATAACACCAGAGCAGCAGCACTGCTCTGCCAGAGGTGTCTTTCATGGTAAAAAAAGGTTGAGGCCTTGCAGAAAGTTCAGTTCAGCAACCCTTACATTCTAAGTGATAAGTTATGTGCAAAATAAATCAGCAGAATCTAGAAACTGGGTGTTCTCTGTCATCGGTAGCATCAGAAAGATAAATAAAAGCATAAAAACTCTCTTCCCTCTGCCCTGCAGATAATGCTGATGGAAAACACCCTCCTGCTGCTGCTGGCCACACAATTCCTGCAGACAGAGCTGAGGAGCAGCCTGACGGTGACTGGGGCCGTCATGTCAGGGTCTGTAATAGGTAAGATCTGCTGGTTTTCAGAGCCTGGAGAGCATGTTTTGAGAGCAAATGAGCATCGTCAGTTATTTAGTTGCAAATAAGCATCATCAGTTATTTTAGTTGCATCAGATTATTTGCTGTATTTCTTCCAGTTTATGCATCTGAATGCATTTGATAGTTTGTAAATCTACCTTGAGTTTCATTTCTTCATCATTTCTTAAAAGCCCACCCCTGAAGAGGGAGGCTTGAAGAAATGACGGAGATGTCAGCGAAGGCTCGGGTACCGCTGCCAGACACAGTATCTGCAATTCTGAAGCACACCTGTGCTTTCTGTGATCTCGGTGCATGGTGATCCATGCAGGCAGTGGTATAACACAGGGGATCGCTGCAGGGAAATATTTTTGGTTGAGCATATACTGATGATTTATGAAGGTGACTTCTGATGGATGAGCCATCACTGGGTGTATTTTGGAAATACGCTGGTGTGGGATCATGCAGAATTATAGCAGCTTTCTCCCACCCTCTTTTCTTTCCAAGAGCAGGGCTGCTTTTGCAAATGGAAATGCTTTTTGTGGCCATGGGGAGGATTGTTTGTCACTGCCAACCTCATTGAACTTAACAAGGCCAAGTGCAAAGTCCTGCACCTGGGTTGGGGAAATCCTAAGCACAAGTACAGGCTGGGTGGAGAGTGGACCCTGCCCACGGCATGGGGGTTGGAACTAGGTGGTCTTTAAGGTCCCTTCCAACCCAAACCATTCTGTGATTCTGTGATACCTTGCCCATAGCCTGCCTTACTCCATACCCTGCCCATAAAGCGGCTATGGCCAGCAAGTGCATTTAATTCCCAAAAGCTTTCACACACAGCTCAGCTGAAGGAGAGACAAGGCTGTATGATGCTGGCAACAGCCCATCAGCACCTCTGCTTGCAAAGCTGGCCCCGGGCAAGGCTGGGAGTTGCTGTTGGCTGGGTGAGGCACCAGCAGGTTGTCTCATTTAACAGGTGGAGGACGGGGATGCTGCGAGATGGGATGGATCACACACCTCCCCCCTGCCCTGTGCCCTGTCTGCTGGTGCTCAGCACCTGCCTGTCTACCAACCTACCAGTCTGCAGTTCAATCCAGATTGAAGTCGGCCTTGAGAGTGTGCTCAGCACTCCCTTTCCTGAAAATGGCTCAAGTGGTGTTCTTGCATCTTTACAAATGCTTGACAGACTGCTGCTCGGACACCTGATGCACAGCAGTATCTCTGCAAAGGTAAAACAATCATACAATCATAGAATCATAGAATGGTTTGGGTTGTAAAGGACCTTAAAGATCATCTAGTTCCAACCTCCCTGCCATGGACAGGGACACCTTCCACTAGACCAGGTTGCTCCAAGCCTCATCCAGCCTGGCCTTGAAGACATCCCGGGATGGGGCATCCACAGCTTCTCTGGGCAACCTGTCCCAGTGCCTCACCTCCCTCTCCGTGAAGAACTTCTTCCTGATATCTAATCTACACCTCCCCACTTTCAATTTAAACCCGTTACCCCTTGTCCTGTCACTCCCTGCCCTTGTAAAAAGTCCCCCCCAGCTTCCTTGTAGCCCCTTCAGGTACTGGAAGGCTGCAATGAGGTCTCCCAGCATGTTGTTCTGGAGGTGGCAGTGAGGGCTGGTCTCTCTTCCACACCTCACCAAAACACTGCTGGGACTCATCCCTTGACACCTTTCTGATCTTTTCCAGGTGCCACAGCTCTGGTGGTTTATTACAGTCTGCTCCATCCCAAGTCCGCAGAGATCTGGCACGGCTTCCTGGAGACAACCTGCCGTGCTGCAGCTGCCGGTGGTGACAAGGTTGCCGGACACGGCTCCCAGGCAGGGCAGAGTTTGGAAATTTCAGGAGATGGAGAGTCCTTGGCAGTGGAAGGGACCACAACAGATCCCAAAAATGGGAACAGCTCACTGCTCCTGCAATTCAGAGAGTGTTTGGAAAACAGCTGGACAAACCATCACCACTGGCTGCTGGTAAAGCTGGCCTTGAAGACAGGAGATATGTCCACAATCAACGCGGCTTTTGGAGATGGTCACATGGGAGAGGTTTACCCTGGAGAATGGATGATGCGGAAACCTGCGAGTGCTGAGCCTGGGGCAGACCTTTCCCTCCCCACGAGGCAAATCGGTCCCTGGGGTGTTGAGTGTGATCTGACCAATGAGAAATTGCTGGCGGCAGAAAATGGAGGAGACGGCAAACCTGACGGCGCTCTGAGAACGGGATGGGATGACAGAGCACAGCAGGAGCCTGTTTTTCACCCAGTTGGATCCTTTCCCAGCAGCTTCGCCCTGAATCCAGCCGATGGCTCCTCTGTGTATTTCAGTGCCAGCACGGGAGGCATCACCTCTCCCGGCGTGGGGACAGCCGCAGCTGCCTGCGTGGCCCTGGTGCAAAGGGATGGCGATATCCAGCCTCCTCCAGACTGCCTGGGAGTAGGAGAAGGATGGGATTTATCCCTTGGGATGGCAGGCATCAGCCCGATCCTGGGCACTTGTGCCCACAAGCATCTGCAGAGCAGCTCTCCCCTTGGCACAGGCGGCTGTGGGGTGGGGGGTCCCCACAAAGGTGGCTCAGAGCCCGTGGAGCTGGAGGGTGCCTTCGTGGGGTGGCATCAACTTCAGGACACCCACCCTTGTGACACACAAGGGACAGTTGTGAGGAGCAACCTGAGGCTACCGTGCTTCACCTCCACCCCCAAGGCCGACTCTGAACACCCACAGCGAGGACTGGGGGGGCCGGGAGAGGGGACAGTGCCATCTGGGTTGCTGGAGTGACCCTGAAATCACCGCACCATCGCTTTGGGCCAGCACCGGGGTGACTGCCATGTCGATAGGGTATGACAGGAGGTGGTGGGCTGTTAATGCTGGCCATGAAGACTGCCCCCTCGGTGCCCGTGCTGCTGGGCACATGTGGCCCTCCTTTGCTAGGACATCGCCTTCCCTCACGGTGCATCTTCTACTTGCAGTTTTGGAGAGCTTCAGAGGCCTTAAAAAACCTTAGAAGTCCAGGTTTAGGTCTTAAAAAGCCTTAAAAGTCCAGGTTTAGGTATTTATTAAACTTATTTATGTAACGGTCCTGCTGGGCAGCTGGAGCATTGCTGGCTTTGATGTATTTGTGACAACGTCTTGAAGCGTGTCCTTTGACAACAGCCTGTACAAGCTGCTGGCCTGTCCCAGCATGGAGATCCAGCTGCTGTCTCCAGGAGCTGCGATGCTGGCCAAAGCAAGAGTCTTCTCAGGACAAATAAGTGCCTAAACCAGAAAAATAATGAGTTTTATTCTCAGTTGTCCTTCCTTCTGAGCAGCATAAGCCCTAAGGTAGGGCTTAGCAGTGCTTGATTTATTTTTCCCCCGCCGGATTCATCTTGAGAGCTTTACCAACTCCATTTTCTGAGGCCATATACTCTTTGTACTACAGACCACAACCTCAGGCCACTGAAATGTAGACAAAAAGCCATGTCCTGCTTGCTTGCCCACCGCCCCGCTTCCTCAAGTGTCCTTTTCTGCCCAGCCTCTTCCTTGTCCCTTTCCACTCAGCTGCAGATAACCCAGGTCTGGCTGGATGCACTCTCCTAAATTTAGCCTCAAGCCAGATCTCAAAGCAGATCTACATCCTCCTGCCACCGTGAAATCCCTGTTGCAGGAAGGGTTTATACTGGGAACTAAAATCCTCAATACTATCGTCTCAGGAATAGCAAGTGCTTCCAGCCAGGTTGGCTGGACATGGGTTTGTGCCCAGGACACGGCTTGACGTGTTGGTTGAGATCTGGTCAGCTGGGTTCACCGGCAGGTTCGTGGGTGCCAGCTGGTGCACATCTGGCAGAATCCTCCAGATATTGTCCGTCTGCGGGCAGGACTCCTGTGGTGCCGCAGGGCAGGAAAGGCAGCAGGAAGGACAGGCATGCGACGAATGATTAAAAAAAGCTTCCATGTAGCATTCACTGCTCAGGATTGACCCAACCAGATGTTTCTTCAAGCCGATCCGGGCACTGGAAACCCAGTTGGTGGCGGTTTCGATGTGAAGCTGCTTTCCAGCGTTGGGAAAGCTCCGTGTCTCCGGTCAGACCCTACGTGCCGTGCCCGTGCTCTGCAAGGAGGAAGCAGTTGCAGCAGCTTTTCCAGAGTCCTCCTTGCTATGGCAATTGCAGAGAAGGCAGAAGAGCTGCCGTGGCATCATGGAAATTTTTGTTTAGCTTTATTTTCTACCTTTGACAAAATATAATGATGTTTTAAGGAACAAGCCAGCTTTTTCTGTGTCCGTGTCTTGTGCTGGGGGTTCTGGTAAGGGTGGGGAGGTCCTCTCCGGACCTTGCAGTAGGGGGTTTTGGGCCTTGAACTCCTGCTTTGCATGTGAAGTGCTGTGCAGCTTCCTGGTTAGATGTGACCTCCCCTCCTCCCCTCTCCTTTGCAACTCCCATTTTCCTGTTTTCATAGTTTTTCTGCCCATTCTGGTTCTATCTGCTCCCAATCAAGCTGCTTGTGTAACTGAGCAGGGGTTTTCCCTTTCTCCCACTGGAGGTTGTGCAAAGACAGGGGACAGATGAATGGGCACAGAGCTCCACATCTCCTTTCCCTCTTCCCCACACTTTTCTCCTGCAGCCCCAAGAGGAGTTGCCTGTTAGGATGTTGACGAAGGATCTTTCTAGCTGGGGCCACCTCAGTCTGTGGGGACCTGGCCACTTCGATGTGGCAGTGGGTAGGGTGAATTTGGTTCCTGCAGACAAGTAACAGCTGAGGAGGAGCAGGGACCACAAACTGGGATGCTGGCAGCCCTTTGGAAAGGGGATGCAGACCTTTAGTGGCCAAATGTTGGTGCCAGGCTGCTGGGAGGAAGGACTGGTTATATCTTCCCTGTCCCATTCCCTGTTTCCAAACCCAAGCTCATGGAGGGGTGTGGCTGGTGGCAGCTGCCCTTGTCCTCCACCCCCTGACCCAGAGTGGGGTTGGTGATGCTGAACCAAGCAGCAGTGCCTGCTCACCCTGTCCCCAAACTAGGTCTAGGACAAGAAAGTCCTTTCCCTGCCTGCGCAGGTTCATTTTCTTCTTAGCCCAGAGCCTTCCCTTTAGGTTGGAGGGGGTCCAGGAAAGGGGCTATGCCCTGTGTAACTTGGATCAGGAGATCTGATTTTAGTTACACACAACCTTAAGAAGAAACACTAAGATGACAAGACCTGTTGAAACCATACACTAAATTAAGACTAGTAATATTTGGGGTAGATTTTGAGCATTTGCTGCAGATAGTAAGAGCATCCACCCTGATATCTGAAGTCCAGCGGGTGGGAAAACAAGCCACCAACCCAAGGATCACAGTGCATGGCATTGTGCTTGGTGGGAATCTTTCCTTGGATGCTCTCCAGCTGGAGCAGTTTTGACCTTGGCTCTGCATCCTATGGTTGTAATCCTGTAATCCTTTTCATTGACTACAGAAATCAAATGCACAGTAGGTCAAGTGATGGCCGTCCAACTTAGGGGCTACCCTCCCGCTTGTGCTGGTTATCACAGGGCAAGATCAGGCAGGAACAGCAAATGCGTTGATGGTTTGTTGTCCTGGTCGAGACAATTTTAAGAAAGCAGAGAAATACTTCTGGTCACAGGAGATGGGCGTGCCCGAGGACTTTCATTTCCCAGAGCACATCCACGATGCACGGAGGGATTGGAGCTGACAACTCTGAGATGGTTGTGGAAATCCCAGATGGATTATGGAGTGGCCAAGAGAGCAGGGGGGGCTCTGGGGACCGCACAGGAGGGGGCATGGTGTCCGGGGTATGGATGGGGGTGTAGGTGTGGGGGCCGTGTTCCCATGGCTTTGCTCCCTGATGATGAAAGATGGTCACTGGTGAGATCTTGTGGTGTCCCCCCTCACCTTCATCCTGGGAGCAATGTGAAATGAGGTGAAAAAATGTGGATTATCTGTCTTTAAAGACTTCTAGCCTGCATGAAAGCTCTGTTTGGAGGAGGAGGACAGTCCAGCTGCAAATCACAGCTCCAGATACCCCTCCCCACCCTTCCCCTCTTTGTGGGTGCCGGAACTCAAGATGCCCTGATGACTTGGTGCACATCCAGAGTTTTCCCAACGCTTCCAGGCCGAAGAAGTCGCCTGGAGAGGTGTTTCTCCCCACAGCTCCTTGTTCCTCAGCCACCAGAGGGAGATGCTGCTCAAGGCCAGCAGACACCTTGTTCCAGACGCTGCGCTCCCATCCAGTGAGTGGGTTATGGAAGAGGAGGAATGTGTGGGACTGATGCTGTGGCATCACAGATGGGAGCCGGTGGGAAAAAAATGTGTGTGGGGGCTCTGGGATACTGGAGGTGGTTGTTCCAGACGCTGCGCTCCCATCCCGTGAGTGGGTTATGGAAGAGGAGGGATATGTGAGACTGATGCTGTGGCATCGCAGATGGGAGCCGGTGGGAACAAAATGTGTGGGGGCCTCTGGGATACTGGAGGTGGCCAATATGGTGCACAGCAAGGGCTTGGAGGAATGTGAACATGGTTGCAGGAGGCTCCTTCCACCTCCCTGGGTATCACCAGGCCATGGGGAAAGTTGGGGAACCCCTCGCCAAGGTCGTATTTAGGGCTGGGAAGAGTGATATCCCTCTGAAAATATCCCATGGTTGAAAGATGGGTGTTGGACCACGTTGAACGCCACATGGGAACCCAGTTTGATAGAACCAGCTCCAGCTGTCACCACTGTGGTTCTGACCCATCCCCATGGAGCAGTGCACGTGCGCCTGGGCAGGGGACAGGGTCGCTCCCTGCTCTGGTCTGTCTTCGCATCAATCCATGGGGCACAGAAGTCCCACAAAGCCCAGGTCCTGCTTCTCCGTGGAGCGATGTGGTCCTGGGCCAGCCCAAACCCAGGGCAAGAAGGTGCACGAGGAACTGCAGCTATGGAAACGTGGCAGAGGGGGGGACGAGCCAGCTGCTGAGGGGATCCAGTGACGTTTCCTCCCTGTGTCCCAAATGTTTGAGGACACCCAACCGGACCCCCTGCTACTCCTTCAGCATTTCCCATGAAGCTCTTTTCCAATGAAATACGTTATCCTGAGCTAGACCTTAGGATCTGCCCAGCCTTGAGGGGTGCTCATCACCAGCGTTTGGGCTTCAGCCACCCGCAGAAGGTCTGGCATGGGGGGTGTCTCCATCCCACTGTGTTTGTCCAGATCATCCGGCGCTTTCACCTACCTTGGAATGGAAGATTTCTGCTCATTTGCCTCCTATGAACCTTTTCTCTTAATTTTGTTTTTTTAAGGAAACTCTCTCCAGCATTTTAGAGAGATGGAGGATGATGCCCCAGCCCAGGAGAGCTCAGTGCCACCAATGAGGAGGCCTCGCGGGCTGCAAGGGAGCGTAGAGCAGGAATTAATGGTGAATTTTGACAATGCAGGGAGTGACCCGCGGGCTCCCGAGGAGAACTGTCTGTGCCGCTCCCCGGTGATCCAGAAAAAGGAGCAAACAGGCAAGAACAGAGGCTGCGTCCCTAATAAATTAAACAATACCCGGGCAAGTGCCTGGGGTCGGGGAGGTGGCTGTCTGGCCCGCTGGCGCCTGGGGTCGGGGAGGTGGCTGTCCGGCCCGCTGGCACCGTCCCCTTGGCTTGTCGTTTTTAATGTGACACTCTCGTCCCTTTTTCGAGGTGAAATAAAGTGGGTTGGAAGGGTCCCGACAGGGCCCGAGGATTGGCGGCAGCACCCAAAGGTCCCA